ACTGCAAGTCTCTCCAGTTGAAGACCTGGCTTTGATTCTTTGATATATACATAACTAGGAACCAGTAGTAGCTTGTCAGCTAGTAGGAAAAATAATTTCTGTTTGTATGGTGTTTACTAGTAAACCAGTAAAAGAGGACAGGTAAATGTTTGTGGAGCTAAAAAGTTTTTGGACATTTATGCACAAAGATACTTCAAATGGTTACAACGGTTAAATCCCAACTTTTTCTTAATCTTCCTTCATTCATTTCCTATGTCTCTTTTGAGAAACTACCATATGTATTTTACTAGTATTGGGGAATAAAATAAAGGGCTGAAATAAATGAATTGTATTCGAGTGATACAAACAGATAAACAGGTATTAATCAAAAAGAATAGTGATGAATATCTAATCATAAACTGAAGGAAAGGAATGGGTTTTACACAGTGCATTATAAAGGCATCTGAACTAATGTTAAGGAAGGCTTATTGGAAACACAGATAATTGAGCTGGATTTAGAAGGATGAGGAGTTTGTTGGATGAAAAAGACCAAGGAAAGCCAAGAGAGTGAGCATTCCAAGCAAAGGGAACAACAACCACATAATCTTGTGACAGAAAAGAGAAATTGTGTGGGACTGGGATACAGAAAGATAGAGAGTGATACCAGATGAGTCCGCATAGGGCTGCGTTAGGAAGCCCAAAAGAAGGTCTTGTAGACCCCTTGAAGGATTCTGGCCGCACATCTAAATAAATGAAAGACAAAATGGATTTAAATGGAGAGCGATATAATAAGATTCGCTTATTAAAAAGATCAGCTACTATCAATAACAGGAGCAAAGAATGATACAAAAGCTATTAGTAGAAGGGGAAAGATGGCAGAGTCCTGGGTTAAGGTCACGGCTGTGTGTAAATTCCAGACATATTTAGCATACAAGTGCATAGAGCGTGGTCATGGGTAGTATGGAGCTGAGACGGAAAAGATGATGACCAGGATGACATGCCCAGCCAGATAGAAGGTGGTGCCATTCGCTGAAATAGACGACACCAGAGGAAGGCCAGGACCAGGACAAAACTACAGGAATCTTAAATCTGCTGAAGCACCGTGAAGAATTGGAAATATCTAGAGTAAGTTCGCTAGATGGATCTGGGGTTCAGAGAGAAATCCAAGTCTATAGGTGCAAAATAAATAATAAAGACAAGGTCATG